TCACCTATGAAGAGTGTACTCCTCAGAATAATTAATTATATGAGACCAGAAGGGCAATATTGGCCTAAAACCAAAGATGAAAAGCCAAGGAGAGACAAGGAAAGCAGATGAATGGAAGTGAGAAATCCAAGGAGGAAACAGAGTGCTGACATAAGACCACGTTGAGCCAATGTCATGGATCAATTTGTATATGAACTATTTGATTGGAAACTAACATGCTATGAAAGCTTTCACCTGAAGCATAATAACATGTTAAAATACATAAATAAAAAATTAAAACTTTTTATTGTGAATTGAGTGAAGGTTTATAGAGCAGATCATCACAAATCATAATCACTGTTTCATTGCAATGAATGCAATCCCCTCCATTTACCACATTTACTTTAGTTAACCATATTTACCTCTATTCACTGTAACTCTTATTCCTCTCTGTGTTTCCTGCTATTTTCATATTTCCTTGAGGAATGGCTTTAGGTTTTCACATTGAGAATGATGTTGGCTATTGGTTTTGTACATACGCCTGTAGTTATGCAGAGGAATTTCCTTTCTATTTTTTTTTTTTTTGTTGTTGTTGTTGTTGACTGTTTTTATCAGGAATTAATGTTGGATTTTATCAAATGCCTTTTTTTTTTTTTTTGCAACAGTTGATATGATCATGTAGTTTTTTTTCCTTTGTTTTATTTATGTGATGGGTTATGTTGATTGCTTTTTTAATATTGAACCATCCCTTCATAGTGATGGCAGTGGTTATGTGCTGTGGAGTCTGTTTCAACTCATAGCGACCCTGTATAGGGTTTCTGAGGCTGTATATCTTAGCAGGAGCAGAAAGCCTCATCTTTTTCCCATGGAGTGGCTGGTAGATTCAAACTACTGTTCTGAAGTGAGCATTCCAATGCGTAACCTACTATGCCATCCCTGCATATCTGGTATGAATCCCACTTGGTCATCATATATTACTTTTTTGATAAATTGTTGGGTTCTACCGGCAGGGATTTTGTTAAGAATTTTGCATCTATGTTCATTAGGTAAATGAGTCTATACTTTTCTTTTTTAGTGATATCTTTGCCTGGTTTTAGTGTCAGAATTATGCTTGCTTCATAAATGAATTTGGGGGTTTTCAGTCATTTTCCATATTCTGGAATAGTTTGAGTAGAATTGATGTCAGCTGTTCTCTGAATGTTTGGTAGAATTCACCAGTAAAGCCATCGATACACAGAGTTTTTTAATGACTTGATCAATTTATTCTCTGGTTATAGGTCTGTTCAAGTTTTCTACTTAAATCTGTTAATTTAGGTCGGTTGTGTGTTTCAAGAACTTTGTCCATTTCTTCTAGATTTTCAAATTTGTAGGAGTACAATTCTTCATAGTAATCTATTAGTACCCTTTTTATCTCTGTTGGTTCTGTTGTGATGCCCTGCACACAATTCTTACTCGTTTTGTTTGCATTTTTTTCCTTTTGTTAAGATTTGCCAGTGGTTTGTTGATTTTATCAATCCTTTCCAACAACTAATTTCTTGTCTTGTTGATTCTTTCTATTGTTTTTCTGTTTTCTATTTCATTCATTTTTACCCTAACCTTTATTATTTCTTTTCTTCTGGTGGTAGGATGCTTACTTTGCTGCTGCTTACCTAATTGCTGGAAATGTTGGGTTAAAGTGTTAATTTTTATTTTTTATTCTTTTTGGATGTGTATATTTATTGCTATAAATTGCCCTTGGACCAATGCTTTTGCCGTTTCTCATTTTATTCAAGGAATTTATTTCATTTTTAATTTTTTCCTGTTGCCCAGTAGCTTTTAAGCATGGTGTCATTCAATTTCCATGTATTTGATTTTTCCCCCTTGATCATCCTATTATTGATTTCTAACTTTATAGCTTATAATTTGAGAAAATTCTTTGTAGTATTTTGATGTTTCTAAATTTGTGGTTTGTGGCCTAATGTATGATTATTTTGGAGAATGTTCCATGTGCATTGAAGAAGAATGTATATTGTGTGGTTGTTGGGTTGGTCTGTATATGTCTATGAAGTCCTGCTATTTGATTGTGCTGTTTTGTTCCTCTGTGTCTTTGTTGAGTTATTTTGCCCTTTATCAAAAGTGGTTAAAGTCTCTTACTATTATTTCTGTTGTTTTTTGTTGTTGTTTAGTGCCGTTGAGTCAGTTCCTACACATAAGGGATTCAAGGAGCAGCTGGTGAGCTTGAATCACCAACTTTGCTATCTATTTCTTTACTTCTATTAAAGTATGATTTATGTATTTTGAGGCTCTTTCATCAGGGATGTAAATATTTATTACGGCTATGTCCTCTTGTTCAATTGACCTATTAATTATCATGATATAATGTTCTTCTTTGTCTCTTATGCTGGCTTTTGCCGTAAAGTCGTTCTTTCAGAGATTGAAATTGACAATCCAATTTATTTTTTATTGCCATTAGCTTGATATATTTTTTGCATCCTTTGATTTTCAATCTATTTCTGTCTTTGTGTGTAATATGTGTTTCTTATGTATAACATATGGAAGGATCCTATTTTCTCATCAATTCTACTACTCTGCTTCTTGACTGGTGCATTTAATTTATTTACATTCACTGTAATTATTGATAGGTATAAATCAATTGCTGCCATTTTTCTGTACTTTTTTTGTGGTGCTGCTGGTTTCTTTGTTACATATAATTTTGGGCACTGTGTTCATTTTAGTTGTAGATTTTCTTTTTATCTTCATTTCTGTTTGTTAATGACAACTAATCTTTCAAATTTTCCTCTTTTTAATTTTGATATGAAGGTATATTTATGTTCTTTTAGATTGCCATGTAATTTATTATTTTTTTTCTCCATTTATAACAGTCTGCTTTATCTTGAAATCTACTTGACTTCCTCACCATTTGAAAATCCTATATTTATAATATCCCTTCTTTTTGCTTTGTAGTTGACTTCATTATAGATTGATATCTCTGGCTCCTTATTTCAGTCTTGTCTATGTATTTTAAACACTTCCATATCTGAACTGAGTTATGGGTGATGTTGTCATGTATGGTAATCTAAGGTTGCTGTCTGCTGTTATTGGTTCTTAGTCCAAAGAAAACACTAGTGTTTTTTGTAAAGTTGGCCTGGTTTTTAAAAGTTTATTTAATTTCTGTTTACCTTGAAGTGTCCTAATTTCATTGTACTTGAAGGATAGCTTTTCTGAGTATATGATTCCTGGTTGGCAATATTTTTCTTTCAGAGTTTGTATATGTCTTCCCATTGCCTTTTGCCTGTATGGCTTCTGCATAAAAATCAGAATTTAGTCTTATAGATTCTCCTTTGTAGGTAACTTTTCATTTTTCCTAAGATGCTCTCAGAATTCTTTCTTTGTCTCTTATTTTGGGATGTTTGATTAAGATATGTCTTGATAACTTTCTTTTGGCTTCATTCTTGTTTGGGATTTGTTTATCTTCTTGTATTCTTATCTTTTCGTCTATCATGATATTAGGAAAGTTTTCTTCTATTAATTTTTCAACAATTTTCTCTGTGCTTTTTATTGTCTTTTCATATTCTGGAAATATGACCACCCATAAGTTATTCCTCTTAGGCATTCTTTGGATTTTTTTCATTCTTTTTTCTGATTGTTCTTCAAGCTTTATCTTCAAGCTCAGCAATTCGGCTTCCATTACCTGAAACCTACTCCTTTGCCCTTTCAATATATTGTCCATTTCTGAAATCTTAGCGTTAATCTTCTGGGTTTCTAATTGTAGGTTTCAAAATTTGCATTTATTTTGTCTGTTTGTTCTGAATTATTTTTGTTGTGCTTTCCTGAATTCTTCTAAAGGTTTTTCTGTGTTATCCTTGCTTTGCTTGATCTTTCTGTCAATCCTTAGAGGTACCTAAATATCATTCTTTTGAATTCTTTTTCAGTTAATTCTGTTACCTTTTCTTTCTTAGAAATGTTTTCTGGCTCTGCATCTTGGTCATTTAAACCATTCTTCCTTGCTTCTTCTTCTTCTTCTTTTTTTGTTTAATTTTTTTATTTTTTCTATTTTCCTCTTGAATAAACAAAACAAATCCAGGTATTATCTTTTAAATTTACAGAGTAACAGACTTAAAGGGATACAGTAAACCAATAATAAGCATATTTTAATGGTTTTCTCTATTTCTTTGTCTCAACAGTTTCAAAGCCAGCCTCTTTAATATTTTTCATTTTGTTTTACATTAAACTTCAATGTAAATATTTTAAAAAATAAATCTTCACCTTTTTAAGGAAACAGCTATTCCAATGACATATTATCTTGTTCCAGATCACAAAATAAGATGTATTTTAATATTTGTTTTACAAATAGCAAAGCTCTTACTCTGAAATCTCATAACCTAGAATAAATGTGACTCGACGGCACTTAACAACAACAGTAAATGTCATTCATAAACTTAGATTCTGAAATTGCTCTTTCTATGTCTGTTTTTATTTTGAGGGGGTCTAAAGTGTTTTCCCACCCTTGGGGGGTGGTCTTTTTTTTATTTTTATTTTTTCATGTACTGCAAGGGCAACAATGTATATTTATTTTCTTGCTAAGATAAACCATTATGAACTTTCCCCAAAACGAAAAAAAAAAAAAGTTACTTTAAACGGAGCAACAGCTGAATAAAATACTCCCTTTAAAAGGATAAATGTACAAGTTAATAATATAAAAACAAAAAACAAAAATCTTATATAAAATGATCCTCCAAGTCCCACTCTGGAACTGTACTACTTAGAACACTGACTGCCTGCGTACATCAAAAACAAAGTCAACAATCTTCTTCAGACTTCACTAAGAGTAGGAGGAACTTTTAGGTGTGGCCCTGGAACCAGGAGCTTTGATCCTGATAGTAGTGCTAACCCTGCATAAAATTTTGAATTTTTTCCTCATCTCTCAATGCCTTTCATAGCGAGTTGAGTAAATTGGAGAGTCAGAATCATCAATCTTGGCCAAAAACTCCAGGAATTTTACTTTGTTGATTTTAGCATGGGCTGTTGGACCCCACAGGAATTCATGACATGAAGGATTGCAGATACATTTCCAGCACCAGATCTTTGGTAATGAACTTCCTGGGCTCACCGTAGATTAAGTGATACAGCCCAGAAAATATGCCCATCTTATTCAGTGCTTTCCAGATCTCCTCCTCAGTGACATGGTTGTCCTTCATGAAGATCACATCCCAGGTAAAAACCAGGAGGTCAGTCTTGGGGATGCCCTCATTACTACTCAGTATTCCATCATAGGTGATACATAGCTTATTGGAAAGGACATAGCAGTGGGATCCATTTCCATCACCTCATGCACTCAGAAGCCGTACTGAGGATCTTAGAAAAGCAATCTTCATGCTCTTTAATGGCCATCTTCATTATGTCTTCCTTGCGGTCACCTCTTTCATTTGAAACTTGAATGGCAGGAACTGCACCAACAAAGCCACCTTCTCATCTAGAGGATAGCTACTGCCAGGCACAGACTCCACTGTGCTTAGACTTTCCTCATCTTCTTGGCTGCTAGAGCTGTCATCTGATTTGCTCACTGAAGAGACTGTAGTAGCAGTGGAAGATAAACAGGCAATCTGAGAACCCTGGGAAGTACTGGATGCTTCAGCAGTAGGAGGCCTTTTCAGTGTACACAGAGGTTGCTTAGGAGGAGGAGAGGAAGATCTTGTCTGAAGCATCAGAAATCTGTGCTTCCTCCAGACCCTGAGCCTCACTGCAGGCTTGAAGGTTTTGATCATATGGGTAGTACGGACTTTCTTGACACTCAAACATTATCACTCTTCTCATTGAAAGAGACAGGAATGCATTCTTAAAGGCACCCGATGAGGTTCCACACCCATGTGAGGGAGCCTGTTGAATCAATCAAATATCTTGAGTTAGGAATTACGTTCAGCTGCAGCCACTTGCTCTGCCTCCTGTAGCAGAACTTGAGCTCTTTATTCTCTTCTTTCTTGCATCTTCATGTGAGCTAAAGTATTCTGTTAACTCTTGCATATTTGGTGGTGTTAGATTTGCATTTAAATGATAGTTGTATGTTGATGAGTTCTTAGGCTCTTACCAATTGTCTCCAGTGGATGTAGTTAGAGAATGGAAACAATTCATGCACCTAAGTTTAGGGTGACTTTGACTAATGCTGGCTGCTGTCTCTAGTTGAGCAGGTGGCATATGAGCTGGTATTGACTCTTGTCTAGTGGGTGAAGCTGCTCGGAGTTAGTTAGGGCTGGTGTGTATGGGCACAGTTGTAGGGAGGAAAAGAGGAGAACCCCCCCCTCCACAGAAACACCGAGAAAACAAAACAGAATAAACAAACAAGCAAGCAACAATGAAAAGAGAAAATAATAAAGGAGAAAACAAAAAAGAAATAAAAATAGGGAACAACCAAAAAGAATATAATAACTAAAAAGAGAAAAGAAGGACAGGAAAAATAGAGCTATAGAAGAGAAAAATGACAGAGAAAATAAAATGAAGAAATCAAAGAAACACTTAGGAAAACAGGTGAGGAAAGATGAAAAGAGAAAGAGATTACAGAGTAGTAAAGAACCATGATAACGCGAATGGAGTTAAGCTCTTGGGAGAAAAGCCCACAGGACCTTAATTTGCTGATGGGGCACAACTCAAAATGAAGA